CCCTGAACCTCCCCTTTGTGGTTTCTAAACATAAATTGCTCCTGCCTCTCCCAGGCTGTGGGCTCCTTTGTACTTTGTATTGGGGTGCCTTGGCATGTGTCTGGTTTTCCTCTTAATAAAACTTTTCTACTTTCAACTCAGCTTGAACTCTTCTGCATTTTGAGAGGTGGGCTTCACCCAGTTGACATCCCTTTGGAGTTTTTCTTCAAAAAGCCACTGGAGTGATTTGTCATTTCCTTCACCAATTCGTTTTACAGATGAGGAAACTGAGACAAATAGGGTTAAGTGATTTGCCCAGGGTCACACAGCACCAAGTGTCTGAGGACAGATTTGAACTCAGGAAAATTAATTTTTCTGAATGCAGGCCTGGCCCCCTATCCACTGAGTCACTTAGCTGCCCCATTGGTGTGTGTATACATATGACATACCGAAACTATACATACATATATATATTATGTATATGTATATATACACACATATATGTATGTGTATATACACATATATGTATATACATGTATACACATATATACATATGTGTGTACACCTCTGTGTATATGTGCATATATGTGTATACACGTGTGTGTACATATACACATGTATATATGTACACATGTGTGCCTATATATTGCCTATATAGGATTATATGTGTGTGTATATGAATATATCACACATACATCTCATATTACTCCTCCTCAGAAAATCCACGTTTTAGCAAAATTTGCCAGTTTCTAGTGCATGATATTTCTTGAACATGATATTGCATCTTCAGCGCCCAAGTGTTTCCAGAGGTTGTCCCCCATTCCTTGCACATTGTACTTCACATTCTGTCCTTGGTAGCTCTAGCTTCCTTTAGAACTTAAGCGCCACCTTCCACAGGAGCCTTTTTCTGATGTGCCCAGGTTTTTAGTGCTCTATTACTTCATGTTTCTTTTGCATGTGTTTGGTATCAAATTATTTTTGCACACATTGCTTTTCCCCTGAGGAAAAGCCTGAGGAAATGGACTGGGTTTTTTTCCTTCCATCTTTTCATTCCCAGTGTCTAAAAAAGTTCTGGGAATAAGGTAAGTGATTGATAAATTCTTACTGAATTGAATTAAATTAAATTGACCTCTCAGAACCCTGAAGCAGTTCTCTTTATGACTATAAATTTCAAAGGAGTTGCATATCTGCATCTACGGAAGGGTTTTAAACATAAGAAGTTTCCTTCACTGATGAAATCATGTTTGGATAAAAATGTTTTCTCATAACATGATGCAATAAATTTAAGATTAAATTGCGATAACATTCACAAAATTTTTAAAAAGAACAGGAACTTTAAAAAGAGTAATTTATTAAACGATGATTAAAGAATTCAAATATAAAAAACAAGATATTTGTTTTATTTGACTATTATTTTAATTTCCATTTTTGTGTAATGTTTTTTCTTTCAATATTTTCTGGTTTCTATTCCATTTTAGTAGATACAATTACTGCTACTTTTTTTAAACTTTCAGTGGCATAAGATATTTTAGATTAATTTTTAAATTTTTTATTCAGCTATATACATTACATTTTGTATTAAATAGGCATGTAATCAACACATGGATAGGTTTTAGCTCTTTATCTGTTGTGTAGCTTTTTATTTTAATGGGAAATTTATATTATTCACATCTTATTGTTAACATAAGTATTGAATGTAATTTGTCTTCTAACATTTTTTTTCTTTATGGAAATGAAAATATATTTTATTATCCTCAGTCTAGTTAAAGTATTAAAACTACTTTATGAAACAATATATGTTTTTAAAAAGTAATTAAATTGTATTCTTTTTTATGGTTTATTCACATTTTTCATTATTAATAGAGTTTTGACCTTATTACTGCAAATTTCTTTCAGAATTTCTGCCTTTGGGGTTGCAAGGTCCTTTTTCTTTTCCTTACTACTATTTTGGTATTATTATTTCTTAACTCCTTCCCTCAGACCCACAATGTCCCAATAAGTAGAATTCCAAAGAAGCCCTAAGTTATGTAATACAAAGTTACTCTTTGCATCAAATCTAACTTCCTGAAAGAGAGCTATCTAAAAGTGAAATAAACTACCTGAAAGGTAGTTAAATTTGCATTAACTGAGGTCTTCAGGCAAAGACTGAATGGGATCTAAATACTATCTTACACCAGGAATTCTTGTGTTATAGATTAGTCTAGCAGACCAGTCTAAAATTCTATGGCTTTTACTTCTGAGTATCAATTAATTTCATTATGCTTCAAGGTACTTTTGATAATGGGATGGTTAGCATTTACATATAATTTTAAGATCTGAAAAGTGCTTTCATTTGATCCTCACAGCAATCATGGAAGTGTGCTGTTATTATGACCAATTTACATAAGAGGAAACGGGGAGATACAAGTTAAGTGACTTGCCCAGGAAAACACAGCTACTAAGTGTTTGAGACAGGATTTGAATTCAGGTCTTCCTGAATCCAAGTCTAACACTCTGTGAATTATTCCACCTAGCTGCCTTAATACTAAAAACAATGTTTTTATAAAACCACATACTTCACAGTTAATGCAATCCTAGTTAAAATGCCAATGGGATACTTCATAAAATTAGCGTCAACAAATTATATGGAAGAAAAATAGATGAAATAGTGAGATAAAGTATGAAACTGGTAGTAATAATAATAATGATGGTGGACTTACTCTGCCAGATTTCTAATTCCATTTTAATTCAGTGATTGTAAAGCTCTCTGGTACTGAATTTCAAAACTAGGAAAATAGATAAATGGGTCTAACATTTAATATATCTAATACCATAAATTAATGCAAAATATTTTATTATTATCAAACACTTAAGAAATTTGAACAGCAGCTGGATGAAAAAATGGAGATAGAGTCACACTTTATAATATATGCCACAATAAATTCAAATGAAAGAATAACATGAATAGGAGATAGCATAATGTTATATTATTACAGTCATTGAGAAGAGTAATCTTCCTAGCTATTCAAAAAGCAGAAGAAACTATAGGAGAAAAATAGATAAATTTGATGTAAACATCAAGTTTTGAAAATAGCAATGGTTTTAATGAATAGTAAAGAAATAGAATAAGGGAAATCCTTCTACCGTAATTTCTCATCAAAGTCTGACATGCAAAATCTAAAAGAAATGGGCACAAATTTAAAACAGAAGCTTATGAAGAGGCAGCGCTCCAGTGATGAAACAAAGTCTAAAAAGTGACCTGAAAAGTTATTCAAAAGCTATAACAATCAGATAAATGAAAATTAAAACAACTTCATGATGCTGCCATAGAGCTATAAAAATAGGCAAGTTTTTTTTTAATTTTCTGGTGGAGTTGTGAATTGATTGATCAACATTTTTGGAAAGCAAAATCGTTATTATAAAGTAAGAGTAAAGTAAAAAATGTTCTTACCATTTGAGTCAGTGTTTCCTCTACTGATACTATATCCTAAAAATGTATTTGATAAAAAAAGAATAACATTGCAAAGTTACTTATAGCAATATTATTGTCAGGGGCAAAATTTTATAATTTGATAGTGGTCTGTGTGTCCAAATAGTTTGATTCCTATTTGTGTGTGTGTGTGTGTGTGTGTGTGTGTGTGTGTGTGTGTCTTGTATATATATATATATATATATATATATATATATATGTTTGTTTGCTATCTTACCCATTAGATTGTGAGTTTCTTGAGGTTGTGATTTGTCTTTTGCCTTTCTTTAAATACCCAGAGCTATGGATGGTGATTGCTGGCCTGATGGGTCTAGCTCCCTACAAGGGGGAGGGAGTGGAGTGGAAGAAGCCCTCAGTAACACAGGTAGGGAGATGAAAGGTGGTAGATAGTTTTAATTCACATTCTGTTCAAGGACTGGTACAGACAGGTCTCAATTTACATAAGAGGACAGTTCCACAGACCTCCACATAAAGCGATTTTTTACTTTGTGCATATTTACCTATGGATGTGGGTAAGGGAGGGAGGGAGGGAGGAAGGGGGTCACGTGCCAGCGGAGGGATGGGGTGGGCACAAGGTTTGAGGATACCTGGGGGCTGAGGACAGAGATGTGAGAGGAGAAGGGATGGAGCCAGCCACGTGGGGACCTGGCCAGAACTGAGAGATAGACCATGGCGAGGGGGGGGTGGGGACATGGGGGAAAAGGGAGGGAGTCAGGTAGGTGAGGGCCAGACACAGGCAGGACAGGAGAGGACCAGCACCACTTCCGGAGAACAGCAAAGGTCTCCTCATTCAGCTGGAATTTAGGAGGTCTCAAGGCAAACCCTGATCGGGCGGTGGTCTCTCCATAATTCTGTTCTTCTGGAGGGCTTTTTTAAGGAAGGAGGAGGAGGCCATGGAAAGCCTAGCTGTGGGGCAGGAGCAGAGAAGGCACACTACAGAACAGTGAAGTTAATATAGGTGGTTTTTTTGGAATGAGGATTTCTTTCAGAATTTTTTACATAAACTTGAATTTGCATAACGTGAGTTTAATGTAAAACAAGACCTGTCTGTAGTACTAATCTTATTATTAAAATAATCAACGAAGGCACTGTTGACTTGCCAAAGGTCATACAGCCTTTGCTTTGGATGTGATCCCAGGCCTCTTCACCAATGCTCCCTTTGTGTGAGATAACCACTTGTGGAACCTGATGGTTCAGCTGGCTAAGGAAAGACAATGGCCCTCGGATGCATGAAAGCGACCTTGTGCCGAGTGTCTTCAGGTAATATCAATGTACTGTCCCAGTTGATTCAGGCTTAATATCAGAAACATCTGTTATCTTTTTGCAGCACATCATGAGCGCTGAATTGGAGCTATTGTCTGCTTGAGAGTGATCTCGGCAGCTTTGATACAGACACTAAACTTAATTTCTAAGTCAAAATCTAGCAGCACCACTTGTGTTACTACACCTTTGGTTGTTAGGAATTCCATCAATGGAAGACCAAGCTTCCATTATTAACAAAGAACTTCAGGCAGTAGATTTGTCTTCATTTAAGTGGATACTAAGATGTTTTTCACTTGATTGGTTTCCTCCCAACCTTAGATGAAGCAGAAGATAAGATGCTAAGGGAAGAGTATGCAAATGGACCTCTTTGGTGCCACCTGGTGATCTCTTTAGCCATTTATGTGTGTGCCCATTGAGCCTAAAGACAATCATGTAACACTTGGGTACAAAGATGCAACCCAGTAGCCCAGCACTGGAGGCCAAAATGGCAAAGACTTCTACAGCCACCATCGCCTTCCCTTTGGTGCTCTGGTAGGTGGGGAGGAAGGAGATCCAGATGCTGCAGAACACTAGCATGCTGAAGGTGATGAACTTGGCTTCATTGTAGATGTCAGGAAGGTTCCTGGCCAGGAAGGCCACAATGAAGGTCCCAAGGGCCAAGAAGCCCATGTAGCCCAGGACACAATAGAAGGCAATGACAGAGCCTTCATTACACTCAGTGATGATGTACCCAGGCTGAAAATGGGTGTCTGCAGCTGGGAAAGGGGGATGTGTTCCCAGCCAGATAGCACAAATAGTGAGTTGGATGGAGAATATAAAGACCGTAGAATTCAATATTCGGGGTCTCATCCACCTCCTAATTGTGCTCCCTGGTCTTGTCTCCTGGAAGGCAAAAACCACAGTGATGGTTTTGGAAAAAATGGAGGAAATTGCCACTGTGAATACAGTCCCAAAAGCAGTAGAAGGAGGCAGGTGACTTTGGTTGGATGACTTAGGAAGAGCAAGGAGGAAAGGAAGCAGAGAGCAAGGGAGATAAGAAGAATGTAACTTAGAACTGCATTGTTGGCTCTGACTATAGGACAGCCTCGATGCTTCACAAAGACTGCAAGAATGAAAACTGTAAGAAGTGAGAAGGAAATAGCAGCACATGTCACAGCCATGCCCATGGGCTCTTCATAGGCCAGGAAGACTTCAGCCTTGGGGACACAGTGATTCCCGTGACTGTTTGAATACTGATCTTCAGGGCACTTTTCACATTGCTCCATATCTAAGAAAGGAATCATTTCAGTGATTCATATATGTAGCAGTCCAACATTTCCAATGGAATAATTACATCAGCTGGATTGGTGACAACTATCAAATTGTTAGTGTCTTCCACACAACCTCATCCCAGTTTTCTCCCTAACAATGCCAACCTAAGTCTACAAGAAGTTACCCTTCTCCTTTGCCTGAACTGTGATTCTAAGGGTAAGTTTTTGCCAGTAATTGTACAAATTTTAAAGCAGCCCAAAGAAAATATGACCTTTACTGGGGACCTCAGTAAAGAGTTGGGGTCCCACTTGGTTGCAGATTAATGTGATTTGGCATTGGAAGTGAATGGAGCAGCCATCAAGTCCAATCATATCTTAAAAAGAGATTCCCCATATAACATATCCAATAAGTGACCACACAGCCTGTTTGAAAACTTCCAAGGAGAGGACCCACTACCTCTACAAGTGTCTCATTCCATTCTTTGGATGTTAGGCAATGTTTTTCCCTTGACATCAAACTTGTTTCTCTCTTTTGCAACCACTATTCATTACCCATGATTCTGACCTATGAGTCCAAAGAGAACAAATCTAACCCATCCTCTATGAAACATACTTAAAATGCTTAAAGATGGCTATTAAGGCCTTTTATTCTCTCCTCTAACGTAAGAATCCCTAGTCCATGTAAATGATTCTTACATGGCTTGGACTTAAGTTCCTTCACCTTTCTGGTTGCCCTCCTCTTGATAGACTCAAGCTTATCAATGACGTTCCTGAAATGTGACACCTAAAACTGAACTAAGACTCCAAAGACGGTCTGATCCAGACAAAAGTACAGTGGGACTATTACCATCTTATTGAGAGAAATTTTGTTTCATCAGATTGTGAGCCCCTCAAGAGCAGGGGCTGGTTTTTGCCTTTCTTTGCAACCCTAGAGCTTAGCACAGTGCCTGACATATAGAAAGCACTTCATAAATGATTATTTAAACTGACTGAAGGTTATATTTTCTTTGGAGGGTTATCATATCACACTGTTGACTCCTACTGAATGTATAGTCCACTAAAGTCTGCTAAAATAAATTTTAGACAAGTCATTGTCGAACTATGCATCTATCCCTGGGGAATGTAAAAAGCCCCAGCCAGCTCACACTAATCTACCATGTGAGTACCATGCAGTAACATTTATCTCTTACATTGAAGGTTTGACTTTATCCACCACAGACAACTGAGGAGGTTTCTATCCAGAAAGGGGGAAAAGGGATTTCTGCTATATACATTTGCTTTGGTAGAACATTGTTCTTCTATCTGAAAAATGTTTAAGGAGTGAGGAAAAGGACATAAAAATTTGGGGACATCAAGTTTTAATCTGGCCAACATACAGCACAAAAACTGATTTTTCTTGCTGATAAATTTATGTAATAAGAAAGGAATCTGGGCTTGGTTTATGAAGAGCATTGATCTTGTCTCCTTAAACTTCATTTTCTTCTTGCTCAAATTTATTTGTAGCTAACTGAGAAATCATCTCACAAATATTTAAGAATGTCATAATCCTAAGATAAGTAGGTAAGTTATTGGTAATGGAAATTTTTCATCTCCACTCCAAGAATGGTAGATGCAGTCTTCCCTTGGGGGTGCACTGCCTGGCCTCTGTTAGGTAGATGCTATAGTTGTGACCAGAAGGCTATCAACTAGCCAATTCCAGACAGGAGTTCTAAACTTTATGTCCTAGTAGACATTATTACACCGTGAAATAGCTTCGATGACCCAGAAAACAGTGGTAGGGAACAAAGCCATGTCAAAACAACAAGACCAGGAAAGTAACAGAGAAAAAGTGTAGGGACCAGCATGCCCAGGGGAGTAACATGCCGATTAGTGGCACCATCCTCAGGGAGCAGCAGGTCCGATGAATTCAGCTGAACAAAGCACCCAGTCAAGGTGCCACACCCAGTGAGGAGCAGCATGATGACATCACCAGAAGATATCAGGGGAAATGCCCCTCTACATACACTCCCTAGGTGTGAGCCTCTCATGTGTGATTCCTATAAGCTTTCAGTCTTTTTTGGGGTTTTTTTTGTTTGTTTTTGGCTAGGCATGGGGTTAAGTGATTTGCCCAGGGTCACACAGCTAGTAAGTGTTATGTGTCTGTGGCCAGATTCGAACTCAGGTCCTCCTGACTCCAGGGCCAGTACTCTATCCACTGTACCATCTAGCTGCCCCAAGCCTTCACTCTTCACATTATTGGTGTTATAAATCTGAGGTGCCTAGTGACATGGGCGAATGGTTCTATTGCAAATCATCTTACTGAGATATTCAACTTAATATCTTTGAAATGCAAAGATTTTTTTTCTCAGACTGATTAGAGAAAAATAATCACCAAGGGAGAAGCTCATAACCTGTTATTTTGCATGGCTGTGGGCCCACAGAATACTTTGGACTATTCTTGAGTGCTCTCTATTGCTACAAATATACAAACACATACATACATATATAGAGATATATGTATATGTAAATTTGTGTGTATGTATGTATACACATACATGTATATATGTATGCATGTATAGTGCCTCAATCATTATCTACTATGGAAGGGGGATCTCCATACAAAGGAACATGACAACAGTCAATAACTGGATTTTAGAGTTAATAGATGAGGGAGAGAGTTTCATCCCTGAAAATACCTCACCTCTGTTCTTTGCAATGTATCCCCTTGGGCAGGGTCTACAGTCAAAGCAGCAATGGGGCCAGCCTTGTCGTGGAATCTGACTGGATCCAGGAAGGCAACTCTCTCTGCAGACAGAATGAGGAGCCTGAGAGCACAGAGAGAAAATAGGGAGGGACAGAGTACAGAGACCATTGTAGCCTTCGATTTTCCTTTGGGAAAAAAATCTCTTCTGAGATCGTTGGATCAGAAGAACGGTCCACAAGTGATATCTGAATTATTTTTTTCAGGGTGTTGTCACATTCATCTAGTGAAATGTTATTGGACAAAGGAAGCAGAGTGGCCCCATGGAATGCACATAGGTCTGAGACTAGCATAAGCAGTCTTCACATATGTGCCACTGAGGAGCTCACAGACAGAATTGAAAGCTAACTCAGTACTCCAAAACTTCATATCCTATAGACACTTTTATGTACTATGTGGGAAAATCTCCTAATTTCTCTGCTTTAAAGATGTTAATGGGGCAGCTAGGCAGTGCAGTAGATACAGCACCAGCCCTGAAGTCAAGAGGACCTAAGTTCAAATCTGGCCTCAGATACATAACATACACTAGCTGTGTGACCCTGAGCAGGTCACTTAACCCCAACTGCCCTTACCAAAAAAAAAAGTGTTAATGGGTAGGTTCATGAGTTATAGGTTTTCCATCCTGTGATTTACACATGGCACTGTCCCCCATTATTATGCCTTTGCTTAGGTCATCCTGATGCCTGGAATGTTCTCCCTTTTTACCTGCACATCAAAGAATCCCATTATTCATTCAGGATGAACCCCCTTCTGAGTGAAGCCTTTCCTGATTCCAACTGCTTGGTCACTCTATTCCTAACCACTTGGATTTCAACTTCTTGTATATATTTGTATTTATTCCAGATACATATTTTCTTCCATTGGAATGTAAGCTCCTTGAAAGTAGGGATTGACTCATTCTTTGTGTCTGTATCCCCAGCACCTACCACAGTGTCTCAAACATAATAGACACCCAAAACATTCTTGTTCTTTGGTTGACTGTTTACAATTGTCGGGGTCATTCTTCCCACATGCAGGACATCACCTGTGATTGGCCTCCTCTCCAAATAATAGAACTTTCATTGACTGTCAGTTCTTTTCCTGATGGGCCTGTAGTAACAACCACACCAATTTTCACCAAGGAAAATGATTTTGGGAGAGTATCTTGCCCATTTAGAACGTCATACACAGTGGGGAATCTCCATTGGCATCAAAAACAACCTCTTTTCCTTGATGGACCCAGAATCGAACCTTCTTGAGATAGCACAAAAGCTAGTGACAACAATAACAACAAAAAATTACATTACTTGATCTTGCCAGGGGAAAGGTAGATTAGTATTAGGTTCCAGCCTTCACTTATCCTAAGATATTAAGATAGAATTCTGGTCACCTTGCTCATTTCCTTAGAACTAAGCTTGATACTTAATACTTATGATAGTTCTCTAACTTGGTCTTCTGTTGTTGTACATCCACAGAGGAAATAGAATTTACTCAGTTCATGCATCTTGGAGAATTAGAGGCAATCCATTTATCAATAAGCATTTAGGTGACTATGATGTGCCAGGCAAGAAACAGCTTGGTATAGAGGCTGGAGACTTGGCTCCAAAGCCAGAAAGACCTGGCTTCACATTCCACCTCTGAATGACACATGCTAGCTTTGTGACTTTAGACAAGTCACTGAAATTTTCAATGCCCCTCATGTAATCCTCTAAAACTACAAGGGAAAGAGAAAATGCCAATCTGCAGTGGTCTGGGAGATTCCTCATCTAGAAGTTCCCTATAAAATCATAGATGTAGTCCCTATAGCTATGTACCTGGCACAGTACAGATCTTCATAAGACCTGGTAAACTGATTATTTCACAAATACTGGATTTCCCATCCTCACAAACTTTACAGAGTGACTTGCATATGACGTTGTTGAGTCATTTTCCAACTCGTGACTTCATTTGAGATTTTCTTGGCAAAGATAATGGTTTGTCATCCCTTCTCCAGCTCATTTTACAGATAAGGAAACTGAAGCAAACAGGGTTAAGTGATTAGCTCAGGGTCACACAGCTAGTAAGTGTCTGAGGCTGGATTTGAACTCAGGAAAATGAGTCTTTCTGGCTCTAGGCCAACAAATCTTGGTTGAATTGAATAGAATCCCCTCTCTGAAAGCTGTCATATAATTTGAGCTTGTGAGCTCACATCTCTCACATCAAGAGTTTGAGACAGCCCTAGTTAAAGCTGCCTTCAATATAAAAGCATCACCCAGCTCTTAAAATCATTGGCTCTGAGCTTCAATTGTTTATTGCAGATGAAATGAATTGAGTTGAATATATGAAATACCTTTCAGATCATTAGCTATTGTTGTCCCAAAATGAAAAGGGATTCCTCCATATTTGCCAGTGAGGGGTAAGATGCCCACTTCACAGCAATACTGTGGAGAGGAATCCTTATGGGTTAGGGGGTTGGATTCAATGGCCTTTGAAATGTCCCACAACTTCCAGATTCTTTTGAAAACTGTGAATGTGCTTAAGCCAAGCACTACATTTGAGAACAAAAGTACTGATTAGCTTTCCTGGCAGCTTATTGTCCTTAACCTGCTACTGTGTGTCAGTCAACAAGAATGTGTTAAAAGTTTACTGTGTGCCAAGTATTGGAGGCAAAAATAGTGCCTGTCCTCAAGGAATTTACGTTATAATTGGGGGAAATTACATGCAACTTATTAGATACATATAAGATTATACTCGTTATTCTACGTCATTGTAAATGTATTTAGCTTCTCACCTGCCAAGGCTGGAAATCCCAGATCTCAGCACAGGTCCCATTCCCAAAAGGCCCTTCTCTAGCATCACAGGAGATCAGGTCCTGGAGGGCATGAGCAATGCTGTACACAGCAGTGTAGGCGCCATAGGTCTCACTCAAGGTATTTGAGGTCAGTGAAGAGATGGTCTGACCCTGTAGATGCTCTCTACCTGTGCAGAATTTGGATCCTTCTAGTTCTGTCCTATTCCTCAGGCGAGGAAGTCCCTGGGTAGACCACCTACAGTCAAATATTTTTTCCCAAAATATTTTTATATAATCATTCTCTGGAGTCTTATCTACATGCAGGTGGCCAAGGAATTCAGAAAACCCTGGAATCTTTCCCCTTTGTCTAGAAATGGCAAGAGTTTGGGAAATGTTTGGGCAGGAGAGAGCAATCTCACTGTCATCTATGTTTCTTCTGATCCATATCTTTCCTGTGACATCCCTTCCTGAGAGTCCCTTTAACATGAGGGAGAAGCTGAAAGTGTTCAGAATCACCACAATGGCCTTGGCTGACACAGTTCCCATTATGCGTGCAACACTTGGAAAATTTTCGTGAAAATTTAAGGTGGGAATATTCATGAGGAATTCTCTGCAGATGCTAGCCTTCTTCAACTCATCACTCAGGAAGTAGCTGGCCTGGTTGCCAAAATCATCATCTTGAGCCACAATTCCCACTCAGGTCCAGCCAAAGTATTGCAACACCAAGGCCACACCGTGAGACCAGGATTGATCATTGGGTATTATCCGTAAAAAGGAAGGAAACTGAGTTTTGTCACTGAGGCTGACTACACTAGATGCATAGCTGACCTGGAAAAAGAAAATATTCCTATAGATGAGCTTGTAAGTCACTCTCAGAAGAAGGCATTAATAAAACTGAGATTAATGTAAATAGTTATTACAGGCACCCTCATAGGATTTATGTTGTATACAGCAGGAGCCTACTAGGTGGCACCGTGGGTTTCAGGTAGAATCAGGAAGACCTGAGTTTAAATTCTGGCTCAGTTACTTAGCTACATGACCCTGTGTAGTCATTTAGATTTTTTGTCTCAATTTCCTAATCTGTTAAATGGATGTAAGACTCACCTCCCAGGATCAAATGAGAAAACACTTGTAAAGTGCTTTGCAAGCCTTAAAGTGCTGTATAAATACTGTTATTGTTACTGCTGTTGCTGTTGCACTGGAATGTGACATTTAAAGTGTCATCCCTGACCCAGAACTGGCGCTATGCATTTACACGGACTGCTGTGGTCTCGAGAGCCTCCTCACACGTCCAACACCTTGGCTCTGGCCCCATCCAGGGTCTGCCCTAGGAATAGCAGAACACAGCTAATATATTAATGTTGCTCATTTCCTAAATGGCGGGCCATCTGGGGACTTCTCTGACATCTACACCATTCTGCAGGAAACTCATTATTAAGAAAACCTCATTATCCTGCAAATCACACCTTATTACTACCTTCTGCTACTCTCTTTGGAGGACAGACCCATGAATTCCAATGCCTTAATTTAAGGAAGAGGCTCAAGGCAACCATCTCCTCATGTCTCACTGGGCTGCACTAATTTGGGACTTCTGACTTCTCCACCATGCCCCCCAACCCTGGTCAGGGACAATACCTGCCTTCTTCCTCCCCCCCCTCCCCCCACCCATCAATTTCCTTATATGTATTGGCTTTACCCATTAGGTTATAGGTTCCTTGAGGGTGGGACTTTTTTGCAGCACTTAGCACAGTGCCTAGTACATAATAGGAGCTTAACAAATGTTTACTGACTGATTGAATACATCCTCAGCCATCAAGCCTTCATTATAAGTATGTCAAATATAGGACAGAATTTATTCACCCAATAGTCAAGCAAATACATATTTACTAACAACTTACTTGAACAGAAGGCAGAAAACAGAAAGGTTTTATACTCAAGCCCATAAATGGTCAGAATTACTCTTCTTCTCCTGAATGAGCTTCATCTCCCCCAGAGACTTGGGCAATTCTCCAGAGTTTTAGTGCTATCTTGTGGTTGGGAGGTCCCCTGAAAGGGGAACTCTACTGAGTAAGGGAAAAGAGGCCAGGCTAGAATGAGATCATCCATGATGGTATTTATGCAACATTTCAACGTTTGTAAACACTTTATATAAAGTGATCTCATCTGACTTTATTGGCAGAGAGAACTTCTTTTACCTATGCAGATCAATACCTTCCCACTGACTTAGAGTCAGGAGTAGCTTTGCAGCCCTCAAGAGGTTAAATTAAATGTCAATTTGGGATTGCCAGAGAATAGATCCTCCTATTCCCCAGGACCAGTTAGTCTACATGTGGCAGCTAGGTGGCCTAGTGAGTAGGGTGCTGAACTTAAAGAGTCAGGAAGGCCTGCATTGAAATCCAGTCTCTAACATTTCCTATCCTGGTGACCCTGGTCAAGACACTTAAATGCTCTCAGCCTCAGTTTCCTCTTTTGTAAAGTGAGGATAACAATAGCACCTACCTCCCAGGGTTGTTGTGAGGAGCAAATGACACCATATTTGCATGGTGTTGTGGAAGCCTTAAAGTCTATACAAATGCTAGATATTGTTATCATAACTCACAGTACTAACATAAAACCAGGTCTTGGTTTCCTCTATTTGGCAACACTGTCTCTCACTGCTTCTCATTGGTTCTTGCCCTCTTCTCTCGGGAAAGTTTGGTCCTGAGAATCCCCCACTGTCCTGGTAGTAACTCTGTCACTCTACTCCTGCCATCTCTTTGACCACTGGTTTCTTTTTTCCTTCTCTCTTGGGGCCACATGGTTCCCTGGCGAGAGCCCCACGATGCCCAGACTCTCCCTCCGAAGAACGGAATCCAAGTCTCAGTAACTCCTCTCTCATCAGTGTGTCTCAGTTCTGCTAATGCCAACTCCAAACTCTCTGCCTGCTTGTCCTTTTCAAGGACAACCTCGATGGTGTAGCTCAGCTGCCTGACTGTCTACAACTCAATCAAATAGCCTCAAGTGCCATAACTCAAGTAATCATGTTCAATATACTGTCAACAGAGCAGTGATTCCCCAGGGCAAATGTACTTGTTCATATCCCATCAGGGAAACTTTATCAATACTAAAACAAAGTTTCAAATGTTGTGCCAATGAGAATGCTCATACCATCTTTTGTCAGGCATTTTCGGTGTTAGAGGAAAAAGATTTTGTCCTTCTTCTTGGCCCCTTATGCTTTCTGCATAAGCTTCTTATTTCTGGACTACCTGGTCCTCAGTGCCTAAGCCCTCAAATGTATTGCCTTCTACCTCACTCTACTGAGTGAGGGAAAAGAGGCCAGACTAGAATGAGATCATCCCTGTGAATAATGATAATAGTTAGTATTTATGTAATACTTCAAGGTTTGCAAACATTTCATGTGAAGTTATTTGATTTTAGTAGCATAAAGAACTTCCTTTACCTATGCAGATCAATACCTTCTTTCTGACTGAGAGCCAGGAGTAGCTTTGCAGCCCCTAAGAGGTTAAATTATTTGCCCAGGGTCAAAGAGTTAATATGTGTCAGAGGGAAGACTTGAACCCAGGTCTTCATGAATCCAAAGTTGGTTCTCTAGCCACTATACTACATTGTCTCATGGCTAACACAGTGCCATAGAATTATTTGGGATAACTGTGCAAAGTCCTATGATGCTTTGGATGTTTTGCTCATAAACTCAGACTATGATTTCCCTTAGCCACCTGGACTTTTTTAGCTTCTGCATTTTCAGTTTTGACACTAACACTGTATTACTAGTGGTTCATTTAATCCATAGAATAGGGAATTATGCTCGGACTGTGTCCATTTCCATCTATGTATGCCCATAAGTTAACGAATGAATAAATACAAAGGGTTTTATTAAGACCTCCCAATGTGCCAAGCAGTGTGATAAGTAATGGACATACAAATATGAAAAAAGCAAGACTATCCCTGCCCTCAAAGAGTTTACCTTCAAATAAAGGAGGATAACATATACAGGGGAATGGATGGCAGAAAAGGAAAGGATTTTTGATCTAAGGAGTCATAGAAATGGTAAGTTGATGTTTATGTCATCATGTTTATGTCTGAGAAACCATACCCAGGAAGGACACGTTCAAAGACTATCACTGGTGGGCCAAATCTATGCATTCACATCCCCAAAACTCATCAATCACATATCACACTCTCTCCTCATAACTCATTCTAAGCACTACTCATAAAATGTAACCTCAATTGGAATATGCCAAAATAATACACTGGTAGTCATCCCGAGGTCTGCCTTCCTTGCATCCTTTGGTTACTACAATCTTTGATCGAAGTGCCCGGGAGCACTTGCACTCCTTACTACATTCTCACTTCCATGGGCTCACCCCTTTCTCCTTACCTGAATGGGGACACTTCTCTAACCTGCATTTCAGAGGCTAGCCTATCTTAAAACCATGAAAAGAAGTCCTTAATGAATCTTTGTGATGTCAGAAGAATTCAACTTCCCCGTCATAGGATTGTAGATTTAGAGCTGGCACAGACCACAGAAGCCATCTACTGAGCTTCCCTCATTGCATCTGAGGCTGCATCTGGCTGTCTGAGGCTTAGAGGTAAAGGTTGCCCAAGGCTACCCATGTAGTAAGTAGAAGCGATAAGACTCAGACCTGAGCCCTCTGATTCCAAAGCCAGGGCACACTTTCCACTACTCTGTGCTGTCTCACAGGAAAGGTTCTTCTCTCATTCCAGCTTCATAAAGTTGAAAAACCAGATAAATAGGTTTTACTGTATTCTTCCTCCTCTATATTGGATAAGGTATTTTTTAATAGGGTTAAGACCACCTTGACTTAACAAACCATGAATCAGAGAACTGATCTGTTCATTTCTGGTGACTATTTCTGAAAGTTTCCCAGTTTTCCTTAATCTTAGTGCCTTCTCTCTAAAATTACCCTTAATTTATTTCTATATAGATCTCACTTGTATATATTTGTTCATATGTTGTCTTCCCCATTGGACTGTGAGGCCCTTGAAAACAGAGACTGTCTTTTACCTTTCTTTGAATCCTGGACACTATAGACACACAATAGATGCTTCATAAATGTGTATTAACTGACTGACAAATAAATTGAAATCCTTGCTGCCTTCTATGAGAAAAAATCAAATGGATTTCTACCACATGAAGCCATGACATTAAATTTTCTAGCAACTGTACCTATAAAATGTAAGTCCTCATAGTCTTGAAAGGACTCAGTGATAAGTCTGATCATTCTTAACCCTCCCCCATTCATTATTTTACTTTATCTATAACTGCAAAATGTAAAAAAAAAAAAAGGTGAATTTGGTCTAAGAAATATCTGTAGAAGATTAAAATTTAACATAATAGAGTTCTGTAAGGTTGTTTTTGCCTGTAGCTGTAAAATTTCTACAGGTCTACATAATGATCCCCAGATGTGATATCAAAGAAGTCCCTAGGATGGTAGGCTATCCTCAAAAAAAAAAAAGAAAGAAATTGTGAGTTCTGTTACAAGGACTACTTTTACTTTCTAGAACATGGGTTCTTGACCTGGAGTCTATGTGTGTAGCTCGGGCTTTTTTTTTTTAATTTAAAAAATATTTAACATAATTGGTTTTCTTTGTAACCATATTTTATTTTATGCACTCAAAAACATCGTTCATATAAGAGGTCCACAGGAGTCCTCCAATCTAAAGAAAGCTTGGGAATCTCTGTTTCCAAGTTAAAATACAAGCTGTTTTTCTGAAGAAAATTAAGGAAATCTACTTTTATAAATATCTGATTTTGTTTTCTAGATGAAACCTACTTCATTACATATCCTGGCAATATTTACCCAATGTTTAAGCTCAAGTGCTGCATTTTTTCCTAAGACAAAAGTAGTAGTGTTTTGGAAAATAGTTATTTCAATCCCCAAGTTAGCAGGTAATGAGCACCTGAATCAGGATGATGGCAGTAAGAAAGAGAAGGAACCGACAGATGCATGAAACATTACAAAAGAAGAATTGAACTGTCAGAATGTCTTAATTCACCAAATGTGAAAGGAGAGGTGAATAGTCAAAGATGTCCAGCCTAAGGGACTATGACAAAGGTAATAACATAGAAACATGTAACTAAGTATGTAGGTTAAAAAAAAGTTTGGTGAGAAGGACATGATGAGTTAAGTTTTTAAAACATTGAATTTGATAGGATGTTACACTCGAGAGCTGACGGCCAACGTACAATTAGAGATATATATGGCACTGGAGGAAGAGGATTTAGGATCAAATTCTATTTCTGATGTTTATCGCCACCTTGGCCAAAACATTCCACCTGCACATGCCTCAGTTTCTTCATCTGTAGAATAGAGAGAATTGGAGTAGATCACCTCTGTGTTCCTTTCTGACTCTATACCAGTAATTGTGCAGTTCCATGAAGCTACATACTGCAAAACAAGATTGTGAAGTTCTTTATATGTACTATGAAAAACTCAAGCCTGTGAGAGTAACGAGATAGAAGAATAACAAGGATTGAACCTTGGAAAACAATTAGAAACACATAGAAAAGTGATATAGAAAAGTGATCAAAACAGAAATAGGAGGAAAACCAATAAAGCGCAGCATCTCAGAAACCAAAGCAGGAGGGAATGTTAAATGTTGCAGGGAAATAAAATATCTTGAAAACAAGGAGACATCTTTATCCCCACCCCACCTTCAAGTCTCATCTTGAATAAACACAGCCAATGATTTTCTGTGTTTTATAGGATGTATTTGCCCTATTACTAGACATTTGATAAAGGTTGTGTTCTTTGAGATTCATATTTCTAATAACATGGAGATTATATTCAAGGATACTGTATTACTTGTTGGCTATTTAAATAATTGTAATATTCTCATTTTAATAGTTCAAAATTAGGGTGAATTATTATGATTAGAGTATGTTTTTAAAAATGTTTGGGAGAACTTTGAAAGGCAAATTTTCAGTAATGATTATATTTCCTCCCTTTTGTATTTCACTATACTTAGAATACCATGGTGTAGTATCCATCCTGGATTTATAAAATGGGTTATCTGAATCAGATATGTGTAGATTGTGAAATGACAACATGATTCTTTTCAAGAGAAAAATAATTTGATTCTGTTAATACTAAGAACCATGGGCATACAAAATGAATTGGAAGGAATGGGTAGAGATGGTAGTGAGGCAAAGTTAGCTTCCATGTAAGGAAAAAAGCTTCCTTCCTATTAGAGATATGCAAAAGCAGAATGGGCAGCCTTAGGAGGTAGCGAGTTACAGTGAAAGCCTGCTCCAGGTAACATTACTTACCAGTGAAATGAATGTAGAACTACCAGGTCACATCACCTTATGCTCATCAGTATTTGGCTTTATCTTTAGCTACTTTCCTTCAGAAGTAAAAGGGGACTGTTTCAAGCTGAGCCATGAATGATCATTGGGAAATGCTTGCATTGTTCTGCAAGAAACCCTGGGCTTGGACTTTTGTTAACATCTCATAAATCAAAATGTTGCTCCTCTGTAGAGTAAAGTACATAACAACACAAAGCTGTGTAACAATAAATAAATTGGTGCCCTTGGGGAAAAATGGTACTGAGTTCCCCTAACTGGAGCTTGATGACTACTTCTTGTCAAGTCTGTTGTATTCATTGGAATAGATCACCAACTGTTGGAATTAGTTGGCTCTGGTTTCTCAACTATACCAATGGTTCTGTGGTCTCCTTGATCAGGTATTCCCTCCAGTGGTATAAATGCTAACCAGCCCATGAGGGGTTCCTCTCCAGGAGGCTGACCACTTGATAATAAATTCTTTGTCTATGGCAGCCCACAAAGCAAAGATTCTGATCTAATTTGAGAAGATCTGCTTTATAAGCAAGCTGTGTGATTGGGGGTGTTTTACTTCTAGGTTTGCGATCAAAGAAGCTCTTTAATAATATGGAGGCATGAGGTAACTCAATATGTTGGGTAGCAGATAATAGGAAATAGGAAATGAGTCCAAGGTCACTCACCTGAGGAAATTTATAAAGGCGCAACCATCTGGCCATGGGGATGGAAAGAGAAGAATGGGCTTCTCCAACAAAAGCAGCCAGAGGAGGGTTGGACCGGCAGCTATAATTGGGAACTGGATCCCCCTGACCTTTCAGGAGGCCCCCAATCCCCTGAAGGGCCTTGAATATAGAGTTCCCAGAATCCCAAACAGAGAATCCCAGGGTGAGGTTGGGCAACAAGTGTGCTTCTCTGTTGATCTCCTCAATAGCAAAGATGAAAGCCCGAGCTACCTGGTAACCTCACGTTGAAAATCTGAAAAGAACAAAGGAAGAACATTGGTATTTATTCCTAACCAGAAATGATACCAAAAAAGGAAGAACATTGATATTTATTCCTAACCAGAAATGATACCAAAAAAGGAGAACATTGGTATTTATTCCTAACCAGAAATGATACCAAAAAAGGAGAACATTGGTATTTATTCCTAACCAGAAATGATACCAAAAAAGGAAGAACATTGGCATTTATTCTAACCAGAAATGATACCAAAAAAGAGAACATTGGTATTTATTCCTAACCAAAAATGATACCATGATGTAAGAGAGTGACCCAAGTGGGATACAATATACACAATTCACACCCCCTCACTCATCTGCCCCTGATGGGGATAGGGACTGCACTGGTGATTTCATTAATAAAAAGAACTCCCTGGTTAGGAAATTCTCTCAACTCAAGCAGATCATCACCTTCTCTGCAAATGATGGTCTTAGAGAATTGCCTGGGTCACTCAGAGGTTAAGTGACTTGTCCAGGCTCACATAGCCAGTTTCAGTGAGAGGTCATACATGACACCAGGTTTTCCTGGTTTCAAGGACCACTCACTATCCGCCATATAATGATGTCTCTCTTCTGGGTCAGAATCACCAGTTATTTTCCATGTTGCTTTTGGAAAATATTCCTATCCAATGCTTCTTCCTCCTGCCACCATTATTCAATAGTCTCCTTGGAAAAATTTATCATCTGACTATTTTGTCCTCTTCTAATCCTTACCACTGGCATTGACCACATCTAGCATCTTTCTCCATGACTTTGGCACTTGGCTTACAAAATGACTCCCTTTTTAACATCATCCTTGGAGATTTCAATATCCACATTGTCTTCATGATTCTATGTCCAATGCTCTAATCATTGCACCACCTAGTTATCTCTCACATTAAATTCCTGAATTCCATTTTAAGTCATTCTGTTAAAACCTGCTCTGCTTTTTGCCTAATATTTATTGTGTATATGAATAAATTTCTAATTCATATTACATGTTAAATATCTTTTTACTTCCCTTTCCCCCAACCTCGGGGGAAATTTAATTGTGAAAAATAAGCATCTTGGTATAATCTTTATTCCTGGTCCATTTTTCACCCACTGGAAGAAATCACTGTTTATCCTTCCTGAGAGGATGGATAAAAATGTTTCTTCCATTATTAGGACCAACTTTCAATACAGTCCTCATGACCGAGCATTTACCATGTGCTTGTAGAATGGAAAGGATAAATCAACCCATTCAAAAGTCCCCAATGGCTTCCTCCGGGTAAAGGACAAGCATAAAACTGCCTTCCATTGCTTTCTCCATCCTGCCTCACAATTCAGAGAATGCAGAGGCCCTTGTATTTACTGCAGTGAGGACTGTCAATGTTTTTGTGTGTGTGTGTGTGCAAATGCCATCTGTCATATTAACCTGAGGTTCACTGAAAGACTTAGAGCTACTGTTGGAGGTATTTACACATGCTTGAAAAGCCAGGACTGAAACTTTTGAGCTCTTGAACTGAGCGATTAGCTTATAAACTATAAGAAAATTAAAGTGTCAAGCAAGTGTTTAATGGATCTGACGACAGGTGTTTAACCCCTGCCCATTCAAGGCCAAGTTTCCCCACACCTGAAAATGGTTCAGACCATATTCTTGGGTACAGAATAGTGAAAGTTTCCATACATCAGGCCCAGGGGCCTAGCATCAGGTCCTTGATGTTAGAACAGAATCTAATACGAGAGATATATGGAGAAACTATTTAATTATTAAAAGCACCAAAGAGAAAGAAATAGCATCAATATTTTTTATGTAGGCACCACGTCGTAAAGCATCCAATATGTAAAGAAGAAATTGAATGAAGTGCACTGAACAATAGAGAGTAAAACTCTAAGAGTTGTGGATTGAAGTACACTTCAAAGAGATCTACCAAGTCTAACAAAAAGATAAATTAAGAAGTCAAACACCTGAACAGGATTTTAGAAAGGTTAGCTATTATCAGTTCCTGACAGTTACTGAATCAAAATGAGAAGGAATAGCATGTTTCTCAGATGTGTGTGGTGCTTTTAAAAAAACTGACCATGTGTCAGCCCTTTAAAAACTTTACAAACAAATGCAGAAATATTTATCATATCACAAAACAATCACTTCAAAGCATGAATATTTAACCTGCCTTTACTGACCACAGCATAATAAAAAAAAAATCAATAAAGGGCCTTGGAGAAAAGGATTCAAACTGAAATGAAGCACAAATAATTTAATAATAATAGCCAGCATTTATATAGCACTTACTATGTGCCAGGCATTTCAATTATTATCCCATTTGATCCTCACAACAGCCCTGGGAGGTAAGTGCTATTATTATCTCCAATTTACAAATGAGGAAACTGAGGCAAGAAGAAGTTAAGTGACTTTCTGAGGGTCACACAGCTAAGTATCTGAGGCTGGATTTGAACTAAGGTTTCCTTGACGCCAGCTCTGGCACTCTAACCACTGCACAAGCTAGGAAAAAAATCTGAGAATCAACAGATCATTTCATCCCAGCAAATGACGGCAATGAGACAGCATCCCCAAACTTTGGTAATTCATGTAAAGCAGTTCTGTAGAGCAAGTTGATATCTCTAAGCACGTTCATCAATAAAATAAAGAGTCAATGGACTTCCACTTCTGGGAGCCACAATGGTGGAGTGAAAAGGTAGTCGCTCTCACTCTCACCTATCAACCACTGAAAACCCAGAAAATATCACCCCTGAAAAAAAACCCTGGAACACCTGAACCAGAAGAAAGATGAGGAGCTGCAGTGCAGCAGCCCAGCAAACGGGTCTCCCAGTGCCTCAGCAAAAATAAGGGAGGCAGAACTACAAGGGGGCCCCAGGCAGATAAGTGCCCTGCAGCATTCATCTGAAAGGAGCTGAAGAAAGCAACCTAAAGTCTTCCTAAAGCCCTGGCCTTGCTGATTCCAACCCAACACCAGGTGAGTTGTAGGAGCCCTGCAGCCTCCAATTGTGAAGAAATCCTGAAGCCCAGGTGGTACAGCAGGCAAACACCAACACCTGGACCTCCCAGTGCCTCAGTGAGAGTGGGGGAACCAGTGGAAACCAGCTCAGAAAACTTCCAGGTGCCTCGGGCACTCCACCAAAAAGGAATCTCCCAGTACATTAGCAGAAGCAAGGGAGACAACACTGCAGGGGGCCCCAGGCAGATAAACATCCTGCAGCACCCATCTAAAAGGAGCTGAAGAAAGCTAAAGGAAAGGAAAAGCAGGCAACCTAGAATTGCCTAAAGTTCCAGCCTTGCTGATTCAGCCCAACATGAGGTAAGCTGCCAGAAACCTACAGTCTCCAATTGCCAGCATAAGAGGCCCCAGCACACAAAGCCAGTGACCAAGACCTAGGCTCCCAACACGAGAAGCTTGGGTCAGTGCTCTCTGTTCCCCAGCAGTAGAGCTCAATCTCTTTAAAGGCCAGGGAATAAAGAAACACCATGAATAAAAAGAAACGCACCACACAGATGCATATTATGAGAAGAGTGAAGATCAAGACAGAAATTCTGAAGAGGACAACATTGTCAACAAACCCACATCTGCAACAACAAAAGGGAATATGAACTGGTCTGAAGCCCAAAAAGCCTTCTTAGAAGAGCTCAAGAAGGATTTTAATAGTCAAATGAGAGAGGTAGAAGAGTCCTTCAAAAATACAATTGGCCAATTGGAAAAAAAATACACTGAAGAAAACAAGTCCCTAAAAAACACAATTGGCCAATTGAAGAAGGAAGACAAAAACTAACAGAAGAAAACAATCTGTTAAAAACTAGAATTGGACAAATGGAAACTAATGTCTCTATGAGAGAGCAAGAATCAGTCAAACAGAAACAAAAAAAATGAAAAAATAGATGAAAACGTAAAATACCTCATCAGTAAAACAACCGACCTGGAAAATCGACTCAGGAGAGAATTTAAAAATTATTGGACTACCTGAAAATCATGATGAAAAAAAGAGCCTGGACAGTATCTTTCAGGAAATCATAAAGGAAAACTGCCCAGAAGTCCTAGAACCAGAAGGGAAAATAACCATAGAAAGAATCCACTGATCACCACCTGAAAGAGATCCCAAATTGACACCAAGGAATATAATAGCAAAATTCCAAAATTACCAGATGAAAGAGAAGGTGCTGCAAGCAGCCAGAAAGAAACAATTTAAATATCATGGAACCACAGTCAGGATTACACAGGACCTTGCAGCTTCTACATTAAAAGACTGCAGGGCATGGAACATGATATTCTGTAAGGCAAAGGAGCTTGGAATGCAGCCAAGGATCAATTACCCAGCAAAAATGAGCATCATTTTTTAAGGAAGGAGGTGGATATTCAACAAAATAGGAGACTTCCAAACTTTCCTGATAAAAAGACCAGAGCTCAACAAAAAATTTGACCTTCAAGTACAGAACTCAAGAAGGACTTAAAAAGGTAAATGGGACAGAAAGATACAATATGTTGTTAATGGGGGGGGCTGTTTAAACCCCTACAAGGGAATATGACACTTGCAACCCTTGAAAACTGTATTGTTATCACACCATGCTAAAGGAGTATACATAAAGAGGATATTAGTTGACTTTGATGTAATGATAAAAAAAAAATCTAATCGTGGGTTAAATGGATCCAAGTAAGTGGATCAATCTGATCTTAGAAAATGTATTGAGAAAGGAGAAGGCAGACAAGGGTAAATTACATTACAGGAAAAGACACAAAATTCTGTTACAG